CACTACTGATTAAGTCTGTTTTTATTGAACTTTTCATACTTGTCAATACATTGGTTTCATGTTCAGTTAAATTAAATCTAAAATTAAAATAAAAACCAATAAGACAAAGTCAAATAAATATATTTTGATTTACATCATCATACCTAGATTGTCGCTTTTGTTTGGCATAATCAATAGAAGTTGGTGAAGGTGCTTTCAGAATGACACTTAAACCATTAAAATACATAACAGGGACAGCAGGTAAAACATAAAGGGCATTTTGAAGTGACTTGTCTTGAGTGGCAACAATATATCTGTAAAAATTTGAATTTTGTCATTCAATTATTAAATAACTAATGATAAACTTATAACCTATKCAATTGATACCAAAAATTATAAATATTCAAAATAAATGTTTATAGTAAACCTAAATGGTTATCAAAAGCAAAGAAAAAATAATGATAAATACATTTTCAGAAATATATGATTATTAATTATTATTTTAACAACACTGGTGAACATTTTAACATTTTTTTCTTTCAAAGTCCTATAAATTACTTTTATTACCTAGTTTTCATATTATCTTTGGTCATTGATGTTAGACAACTTGCTCCAGATATGGGTTTTTTTTCGTGTCCACATTTATGTATACCAAAATTCTTTACAATGTGCATAGCCGGTCGAACAGCAGCACCTGCAAGATAGAATTATTTTATTTTACAATAATTAAACAAAACTGTATTATATTCTTACCCAAAGCTTCAGTCTCAAGAACAACGCACTGAGTGGTTAAAAATTTAACATCACCGCCCAAATATTTGGGAATGTCTTCACGTAATTGCACTCTGTTCTATAAGTTTAATTATCAAATAACACTTTAGCAGTACCAAATACAACCAGGAAGGTATCTATGATATAATAATGCCAGTATAGTTACTTGTGCTGAAGCCATGCAAAATGTACCATCCACCAGTATTTGAAATGGTTTTCGAAAACCAAAGCTGACACAGTAGAAGTTGATATTGCGTTCGGCTTTCTGGTGACGCTTGAGACGCATTTTATCTTAATCTACACACCAAGATCTACCTTTAGCAAAAAAATGTTTGAAACCTATTTGAAAGAACTTCCTCACGGATTACTCTAAAAGTTATAATAGATTTAATAATAAGATAATAAGAATAAGAAATTATTAAAAATAAATAATAATGAAAATATATTCTAATACTCTAATTAGTCTGTATGATGATTTAAGATAGTACCACAGAATATTCTTTTCTAGTGTAGTCTGTCGACAGCTC